GAAATATACACACTAATGTATTTTTATGACTTTTATTTTCATTTATTTTTCTTCGTTTCGTTTCTGTACAGTGAGTAACAATGTAAAAGTAGAAAGTGTAAACAAAAGAGTGCTGCAGAAAGCCAAGGCTGTGCTTTTCTTTTTTCTTTCTTTCAATGTGATTGCATCTCATCAAGAGCTTTTTGCAACCTACTGTCTATAGACTTCTATCGAGTTGACAAGTTTGGATGAATAAGAACTGTTCATTATCTTACATACATTTCGTTTCTCTTCATAGTTTTTGGGTCACACTCACGTACTGTCGCTAATATCTAAGGGTGTAGGCGTGAGTTTTTGGTGTTGGAGAAGAGAAAATCCACACCCACGCTCCAAAATTTCCTCATCAAAACGAAGTAATAAAAACCAACTATACCGAATATATTTCAGTACTGGTTGAGTCCAACTTTGTCGAGTATCGTATATGTCAAATGAGTTTGTTATTTGCCGAATGGTTTGTTTATTATTTTTGCATCAGAGCAATATTTTATGTTGCACTTCTGTCTGTTTCGTTCTCTTTTTTTTCACTACATAATTTATTGGGAAGTAGGGCGCATAATAACAGTAAAATATGCAAGGGTAAAGAACGCAGAACCATTACTTATAAACAAGCAAAAAAAAGTTTTTTAGCGCAGTCCTGTCGGGACTGAAATGTAAAATTCACATATGTTCTTCAGCCTTATTACTTCAATAAAAACTAGGTGAAGTGAAAAATTCCTTATAGACGATAATTCTGTTTGAGGCTAATCAATCAGCAAAATCAAGGTTTGTCTTATTTATTTCTGCACAGCAAGCAAATATTTTTAAGGGTGCCCTGTTTTTATTTGCGTCGTTGCTATTCGTTCGTTACTTTTAGTTTTCGTATTTTTTTTACATTGTTATCATTATAAGTTTTGAATTTAGGGGGGTGAGTTTATTGTTATTTGTTATTAATAACAAAAAAATAACAAATAACTTTTTTTTTCTGAAAAACCTTCAACTCGAATTGATGTCTATCTCAACTATACTAGTTCTATTGGTCTATGTTTAAGGAGTGAATTTGCTACGGCTATGACATCAATCGATCTGGAAATTTGAAAATTTGTAGAGATCATATACAGGGTGGACCAAAAGTAACAAGACAAATAATTTTTTCGTTTTTTTTTCTATAAATATTGACAGTTATATCTCATATTTATACTGCATATAATTGGTGATACTAGTCAAATATTTGTCATATGATCAGCCTCTAGGCATAGAAGTTTGCTCCTAAGCATATACATGTATTCATTGCTCGTATGTGGCTATATCAGAAATTCGATATTTTTTGTAATTACATAGGGATTTCATATTCTTATCTATTTATATCAATTTGAGATACAAATTCGATTCGATCAGATTTTGAACCTCTTTAGACTAAAAGAATGCAAAATTCAATTGAACCGACTTTGTATCCCAGATTGGGATAAATGGACAAGAGTATGAAAATTCTATGTAATACAAAAAATATCGAATTTCTCATATAACCACATACGAGCAATGAATACATGTATATGCTTAGGAGCAAACTTCTATGCCTAGAGGCTGATCATATGACAAATATTTGACTAGTATCACCAATTATATGCAGTATAAATATGAGATGTAATTGTCAATATTTATAGAAAAAAAAAACGAAAAAATTATTTGTCCTGTTACTTTTTGTCCACCCTGTATATGATCTCTACAAATTTTCAAATTTCCAGACCGATTGATGTCATAGCCGTAGCAAATTCATTCCTTAAACATAAACCAATAGAACTAGTATAGTTGAGATAGACATCAATTCGAGTTGAAGGTTTTTCAGAAAAAAAAAGTTATTTGTTATTAATAACAAAAAAACCTAACAATAACTTCTCACCTCTATTTGAATTAAATGGTAAAAAGTGTTGTTATAAATATCTACTATATCTAGACCAGTAGGTCATAATGCACTATTATGTCTCTCGATCCACTCATAAAAGTGATATACTATATTATTTCAAAAAAATATGTATGAGTTCCACAAAATTCATATCTGTACAAATAAATACAGTTCTTAGGAACCATAATCATGTATTTTGATTATCGTGTTATATGTCTGAGTTAGTAGCATTCAAAAATATACAATGGTTAACAAAAGTAAACTTTATCGGCTACCTAAGAAAAGATTCAATTATAGAGTGCTTCTAGAACATGATTTTTCTATAATTGGCTTCACCCTTTGTTTGAGTCTTAAATGGATGAGACTTACACCATTATAAACATCAGACAATTTTTTTGTAAATTTATGAGAAATTTGTGATTTTCAATAAAAGTTATTGTTTCAGATTATAAACTCATGTGTTATAAGATCCAACACATTCATCTAATTTTTTTTTCGATAAAAGCTAAGCACACAAAACTGTTTTCTTTGGTTTTTATTTGAACGTGCAATTCAAAAGTCATGGGCATAATAAAAATATATTTCGAAAAAAATCAGCTTAATTTACTACGCAATGCATCCGAAAACAAGACAACGATATAAGATAGTCTAAAACTAGCATAAAAATCAAAAGTCAGAGCATGTTCTTCTGAATTTCAGTGGCTGTGTCTAAGATCTTATTGCGTACATTTTGTCAGCTACGAAAAAAGAAGGACACTTTTTTTACATAGGAACCAATTTCGGCATATCCTCAGATAGAGAAATACACAAGATGAGTTGAAAGTTCTTTAACTAAATAAAATTGAAAATTCTTACAAATGGTGTCAGTGAGAACTACTCATCGTTGGACGGGTATAGATGTGAGTATTTATTTCGTCTACGCCCATCTCCTAGATTTTCATGCTACGCACAAGAAAAAAAATATATATGTAATGTTGCATCAAAAGGTGATTTCAAAAGAGTATATATTTCATAAAATTTACATGAAAACATTTTAGATTTATCTCATCAAAATCAGATTTATTTATCAGTATCTCAGAACAATACCAACACTTACTTCACAGCTAGTAATATTAGTTCTCGTGCATGCCGGGACTATGATTTAAGATTTCAATCGTCAAAAAATGGAAATTGACATGAAAATTCAACATGTTGAAGGATCAAAGATAAAATTGTACTAATAAAAGTTGGGAGAGAATAGGAATCAAACTTTAACAACCATATTGTATGACGAAATAGAGGAATGTTCGTGTAGATGAGCTTAGCAATGTGAATATTCTCTCACTCTCACTCTTGCTGGAGTGAGTTTTGATTTCTACTATGATCATTTGAAATATATGCCAATCGTTAGTGATCTTTTAACTTCGATTCATAGAGACATCATTATCTAATTTTGTTTGGTCCCGTTCAACAATCGATGTACTTTAACATGCACAATAACATCAACGGAAAAATTCTTTTGCAATTAATACGTGCATCACAAAAACTATATTCATAATAAATGTATATCAATCGAAAAGAGATAATAAGTAACATGTATTCCGTATGATGCATTGCAAATAATAAATACTTTTCAAGTAAAATATGATTGTAGAACTCATCTATTAATGATTTCTGCTTGTATGCATGAGAAAAGGAATCAAAATGAATAATGAACACTCGTATAATAGGAATGAGTCTTAGGTTGATTATTTTTCCTAGCATCGATGAACAATCTAGGTACTACGAATCCTTTCTTTGTAGCTCAAAAGTCATGAGAAACACACTATTATTGATATACATGCTTGACACCTTTGCGTAAACACAAAAGCTTGTTCTGAAAATAAAAAATTGAGTATGATGTTAATTGCATTATGATTCTATTGGATATCTTCTGAAAGTACAACGATAATAAACGAGAGAGATCAAGAAAACAGTACATTACAAATCAGCCAACCAAAGAAACAAAAATCCACATTGAAGTAGTTTTATTATTGTTTCCATTGTCTTTTTCTTCTGTGTTTGTCTTTATAGTGAGTAGCAATGAATAGGTAGAAAGTGTAAACAAACGAGTGCCGAAGAAAAACAATGCTGCGCTTTTCGATTTTTTTCTTTCTTTTAATTACATTGTATTCCATCAAGAGTTTTTTTGCCACTGCGTCTCTCTATACTTTTATCGAATGGACAAGTATGAATGAATAAGAATGCATTAAAATCAATTCAACACTCTTCATTAAATTACATGCATGTCATTTTTCTCCATGGTTATTGATACACAACGGAGGTGCTTCTGTGATACTTTTCTTCATCCTATGAGGTGACTAGATTTTTGAAATTCTTAATTTACCTTCAAACATAGGTCCTATAGAGTAAACGAAAAAACGCTATCAGCATACAACAACACAAACAATAACTAACCAACAAGTATATAATCAGAAAAGAAGGGAGAAAAAGGTTATAAAAACGTACTTCCATGAGTATTCAACCACAGAAAAACACGAAGTATCAAGAAAATTTTCTCCTGTATCAGATTTTATAGAGCATTTTTCGCTGATCATTTGGGTAAAAAAGGTTCTGGATTACCTTGAGAAATATCGGTGCTATCATCCAAGTACTGAAAACTCAAAAATGGTTGAAAATGAATTTCTTTTAACTTTTATTAGGGAATATTTTATTATGTAAGTCGTTTTATTCTATATTGTCTCAATGAATATGCAATGCAATTATATATTCTGATAGCACAGGTGCCAAAGTACAAGGAAAAATGGATTTTTCAGTTCTTTTTGTCATGAAAATTGACGACGGTATGGGTGTGGCTTCAGATCTTCTGTTCACATGCGCTCTTACCCACAGTCACATCCTTGAATCTCGTAGAAATTGCATCAAAAGCTTTTTCTAAATGATTCATTAGCAAAGTTTATTTTTCTCTCCTAGAAACGACTTACGATTATGTTCATGAGATTCTCCAAACATTACTTTTTTATAAAAAGATAAAATGCCTGAAAGACAAATGATCGACTGGACACACTGCACTTTTTTTTATTATTGCCTAAAAATACTATTTTTAATCTACACAACCGTAAAATGAACGAATTTCAGCAATATCAATTGGACTAAGATGTTCTCTTTGACCAATTCTTATACCAGCTACTTTAGGTGTAATAGTTGGTTGTCCATTACTGCTAAAATAATTACTACCATAGTGCATAATACTATCAAAATCATAACTGGTATTTTGATTATAAACAGTATTACCCCATCGGTATTTGTTAAAGTTATGTTCCTATAATACATCCTTAGAATATTAGTTAATTAATAATATGAAAAACCTACATGGCCTGATTCAATATTAGTTTGATTAATAGTAACATATGTATCACGATCTGGACGTGATTGTTCATGATAAAAACCTAAGAAGGCAATAGATGACTAATCGACTTCATATAAAAAAAATATTAATAAAATTTTTTCATTCATTACCAAGAACGTGCATAAGTTCATGTTAAATAGTACCAGAACCAAAGCATCCAGGATATGCAAGTGTCATAGTATTTGGAGCAAATGAAAGACCAACCTAAGAGAGAGAGAAAAAAAGATTACTTTCGATAGTTTTAAACAAAATATATTTCTTCTATATACTGTTGCACTACAACCAGCTTCATAATTAATCTTAAGAATGTTTGATTCCTTTGGTAATGTAGGTCAAAAAGTAAAACATGGTTTGCGTGTTGCTTGACCTGATATAGGTGTACGAGTGACATTCACTAATGTGGCCATTGCTGATTCAATCATACTACGATGTCCAGCATCTGTAAAATATTTCTTTTTTACTTTAATTACGTTTTATTTTTCAAAAAGTATTTTACTTGTAATTAATGACATATCATAGGGAATTACATTTTTAAACCAACGACGAGGTCCATAAATAGCCACACCTCTTCCAGTCGATTCAATTGTTGGATCGAATCCATTAGGGAAGATCATATCACCTTCGAAACCACCACCTAGTTAATAAATCAAATCCACATCACTGAATAATTAATGTCAATAATTACCTAGCCATTCATAATTAATTCCATTTTCGACGGAACTAGGGATAGGAGTGTTGAAGACAATACAGAAACAAAGAGAAAAGACGATTAAAATTTGGGACAACATATTTATATCCTAATGGATAATATGAAAATCCATTTTGCATTTGTTTTTATACTGAAAATTATTATTGTTGTATTAATGATAAGGATAACAAAAACATATGAAACTGTGAAAGATCAAATAGGTGATTGAGTATATGCAAACTAATTGATTACATCTTATCATATGTACTACGCAGTTTTTTGTGGAGCAAGGATGTGGGTGGACGATAGAACAACGAAATTTAATTATATAGAAAGATTTAAAAGCCTTTGGAATTTAATACATTATGAAGTTAAAGAAATTTTTAAAATTACAATAGCACCTATAGCAATGAATAAGACACAACGTATTACCATTGAATACCCATGTGATAACTACTGTCGAATATTTTTGAAATCTGTCAAAACTGATAGAAAATTGAGCCGATTTCGATGCATTCTACTAATGTTGATACGTCTGCACTGCCTCTAATAAAATATTTTTTAAAACTGTTTTCTTTCTAATCAATACTTGGATGAAAGAAATTCTATTGAGAAATGGAAACTGTAAGTTATATTGCAATTCTCAACACAGACCATTACGTTTGATAAGTGACTGTTTTATTATATAGATAAATTATTTCTAAACAAGATGGAAAAGGTCATCAAAAAAAGAATCTTACATCAGGTATTAATTACAAGAAAGATAAATATTACAAGTGAATTTAGAATCACGAATAAGTACATTTATATTTTGTCTAATTATTTGCCTTTTGATTACAATTAAAACTAATGGCGTAGCCCGAAAAAAATTTTTCATGGAGGTGGGTTCCGTCTACAGTCGAAAATAGGTTTATTCTTTTATTGTTAATGATAGATTGTTCCATTCCTTAGAAGCTGGATCCCCATAATATCGCATGGAACCGAGATTGTTAAGGTTTCAGTGCTGAAGTAAAACAATATTATACATTAATACTGAGATATTTCATCTCAAGAATGAAAAATGAAGACTTCTTAGCATAAGTTTAACGGTTCCAGTTGTTTTTTAAACCATTGAATTCTACTCAGCCCCCCTTTTCCTGTCACCACCACTAGTTAAAACACTAAATTCTCAATATTCATAGATAAGATGTTTACTTTATATTTTTCTTAACTCCGGCATGTTTCGAGATAATTCTGCACATTTACTACTTTTAAAATACAAATGTAAAACATATTCTTTGTACTAGATATAATTGAATATTTTATTTCGCAATTTTTATCAGAGAAAATGATTACATACAAATATCCTCTAGTAGTTTTCCATGCGAGAAAAGTTACGTTATTTATCTTTTTTCTAAAATAAAAAACCAAAATAATATGGCGAGTCAATGTATTATTGATTGATCATACGAATCATTTGTTTCTATTATGATTTCATAAAAAATATTTTCCATTTACTTGTTCCATTGTTGCTACTAATTTTAACTAAAATTCATCCACATCGCTATCTGTTTCACTAACAGCTCCACTATGATGAAAACCTGAAATGCTTAACTTAGCAGATGTCGTTTTCAGAGCAGTTACCAAATTTTTTGTCATCACTTTCATATCTACAACTGCTGAACTATCACATTTTTCATGTTTTAGTTCAGACTTATCTGATTTACTAGAAGGTTTTTGTTGAAAATTTGTATGTTTCGGACAAATAAATACACTTCCATAGGGTTCTACTTGAGATGTTACCGATCCTTCGGAATCGGTCGATATTGTACGGATAATACTATTATGATTAGGCAAAGACGTATCTGATTCGGTATAATTATCATTATTATGTCTTGATTCTTGATATGTATCGAATTCATTTTCTCTAGCAGATAAAAAGCGATTATTAGTATTGCGACGATATAGGACAGTATCTGAGCGGATCGATGGTGAATTGATACGATGATAAATTCGATATAATTCATTCGATGTGATGGGAATATCGTTATCTACAGGAGGAATATTCAAAAGATTTGCATTCTTGATTTGTGTTTTCGAAATATTTTCTTTAGATGTTGGAGGTTCATTTGAATCGATTGATGTTGAAGCAATAGTTATCTTATTAAGTGAAGTTGCTTTATCAGACTTCATTGAAGTTTCTTTATTAACAGGATTATGATAATTATTTGATTGGGTTGATTTAACAAGTGTCTCTGATATGACAGATTCTGGATATGATGTTAAATCTTCTGATTCATCTGAAATGACCGATGAAACAACCAGGTTTGTTGATATTGACAATGGATTTCTATAAACAACTGTCGAAGATATGTTTGTCATGTTTGGATCATCTGATATATCGTGGACAATATCAACATGTGAGACCTTTGACTGAGATTTCTCCGATGCATTTGGTTTAACTTTAAATTGTATGCAACCCATAAAATGATGTTGTTATAATGAATTAATTTTTGATCGAGTTTTCATCTTTCTCTTTTCTTATTACAATTTATTATGATGAATTCTTATTCGAATATGATAGAAGGTTATCTTATCAAAAAATAAAAAGCAACACAAATAAAAGATAACATTAAGAAAATTACAACATAAACTGTTGACAAACTCTTTTAGAAGCTTACAGCAATGAAGTACGATGTTGTTAATATTATAATATTTTACTACAAAAATAAGAAAGTATTGTAGAATCAACTATATTAAAGAAAAGACAATGTCAATTATTTCGATTTGAAGAAAACAATCGAACAATTTCTTTCTTATGAGTCTTAAATGATGGAATTTGAAAAACTTATCTTGTAGCTTAATGGTATCTAACCAACTTGGTACTATAATCATTTTTTCATCATTATTGTATACGTCAGTATATGATATCATAGATAGTATTCAAGCATTTTGATAATGAATATTGCCTAAACTTTAGATTGTTTTTTTCTTGATAGCTCGTATCAGAGACGTAAATAAAAGTGCGGAGATGTGGGAGACGTGTTCGTGCGTTTAGTGCTGACGAAAGAACATTCTCAGGTGTCTGTGTTCTTTTGAATAAAGTACAGCAACATATTCGTTGAATACGAATACGAAAAGTTGTACTCGTGCCGTGCTTTATCTTTGAGCTGATATTTCGCAAATGAGCAGGCCTTGATGAGACATGAAGAGTGTCGGTGTGGGCGAGAATATGAGTGTTGAAAACTTGTCTTCATTCATACCCACATCCTAATTTTACTCTCAAAAAAAAAATTACAACTTTCTATAGTTACCAAAAAACCGTTGGCCAAAACTTTTATATACATGGAAAATTCTCCAACGATTCAAAACTCGGCAATGAACGTCCGTATAATAGAGAAACGAAAGGTCAAAAGAAAATTTCATGTCGAAAGATCCGAAACCTGTAGTATAATAGATTGTTACATGTAAGATTTGTTTCATATCTATTTTTTGGAAGAAAAATCCTTCAAATAATTCGTCGCAACATAGTTTAATTATTCATAAAGATATTTTTGACAAAAAAAACTATGATATTTTATTTTGATTAAATCGAAAACCTTATCTACATCGATTGTAGTGAACTCTTCTTTTTTTTTAAATTATGAAAAATTTTACAAAATAATGCATAATTTCTTTAAAATTATTTTTGTTCTATGACTAATTATCATTATTGTTCAATGGAAAATATTTTTCTAAACGTACTAAACACATTTTAAAAGAGTCCAATGTATTACTGAACAAAGATCATACATAGTAAAATTATTCTAAACTTTCATTTCATTTCTGAATTCGATTACTACTACATACTTTCTGATTATTTTCTTTGTTCAAAAAAGACATGTTAGAACTTTTAGCAATATCATTTACATTTACATCATTAGTAAAAATTCTTTTAATTATTATTATTAATATGATTGTTGGTAATCTATGGTATTCACCATTAGGTTTTCAAAAACAATGGATGAAAGCAATGAAATGGTCAGATTGTGAAACCTGTGATAGTAAGGTTGTTATGATGGCTCTTTTTATGGCACATTTAGGAACTTTATTAAGTTCTATATTTTTAAATTTATTATTAATTGCATTCAATATTCGAAAACATCAATATCTTAGTGCTATGTTGACCGCTGGAATATTATGCGGATTTTATGCTGTAAGTTTTTGTATTAAAAATAATATTAAGTATTAAATGAGCAAGTCTAGAGATTTTTTTAATTTGTTTAGTTTGTTATCTATGATTGATATATCTTTAAAAGTTGTCATTTTCTTTTTTTAGTTCAACGGTTGGAATCGTGTATTTTTTACAAAAAAATCTGATCGCCAATCTCAACGTACATTATATTTAATTGATATTAGTTATAAATTTGTTCTTTATTCACTTGTATCACTTGTATTAGTTAGCTTTTAATATGATTCCATCTTATATTATTTCATATGTTCAGTCAGATACTTCTTCTTTTTATATATGTATTGGTCTCTCTTTTTTATTTCATATTATTAAAACGAAAACTATGATACTTAATGAACTATAACATATAATTTTTTTTTTCTATTACTAACAAAGGATTCATTTGAATGACAATTAAATTTATATAGAAAGTCATTGGTGTATATTTCAAGATAGTTTAAATCATTTTCATGAAACAAAAATTACAAGAAAACTAGAGTTTTACTCCATGGTTTGCTTAGTTTTTGTAATAAGACCTTGCGCGAGTGGCGGAATCAAGGTTTCGATAGCGAGAGAATTGATTAACGAGAATCATCGTGATTTTTTGGTATATCACATTCAAATATATTTCATTGTATTTTAACGAGCAAGTGTCGAAATCGATTCAACTTAGTTTACCTCGTATTATCTTCCATCTTTTTTGAATAATTTTCCACTAGTGCTTTTAGTGAAAGGAAGTAAATAAATTTCTTTCAAAACCTTATGTAATGGTGATCATGTGTCTTTTAAAAAGTTAATTATTATCATCGATTCTGTTTGTTTTTCAGTTACTAAACAATCCATACTTTGTAGATACATTTTTGTATCGGCTCTGTCAGTGAATTAGTGCAATGTACTGCTGAACAATGTAATTATTGCGTTCATTGACTTTGCTAGAACTCAATGAAAAAATAGAAGTAGATTTCACTGCATTTGAAATAATAATGATGCCACTGTGACTTTGAAGCCTTGTTAATCAATAAGTATAATTGAAAAAATCTTACTGCATGTTCTATTTCGTTTATTTACTTGCTAAAACCATTCATCAAACTGTAGAATAAAAAATCCAAAGAATATCTTTTCTTGTAGAAATCAATTAGCAAAAATCAGACAAATTCATATCAATTTTACTTTTCGGTATATTTTTTAAAGAGAAAAATAGTTGGCAAACAAAAAAAGAAAAAACATTGTTAGTTTTCTTTTCTTTTCTTTTTCTCTACTGTCTCTCTTAGATTTTTAAACTAAACAAATCGGTCAATAAACAGCACAAGTTTTAGGAACAAAACAAAAACTATAACATTGCTAATATTTTTATCCATAGCAATGTAATATAGTAAAAGAAAAAAAAATGAAAGAACAACAAACAAATCAGAAGTAGACTGATTACTGCAATCGAAAAACAATATTTTCGATCATCAGTTAGCAGAACACATAACACATTTACCTAGTCGAACTTGATGCACAAACAAAAGAAAAATGATATGATCACTCTGTCAACGAATTAATGTGCTCGGCTAAAGAGAAACAAACGTCTACAGAAAAGACTAGACAATAAAAAAGAAAAAAAATTTTTTTTCCAACAAATAAACACTCGCAAACACCAAGAGTAATTGCCCTAGAAACTACAAGAAAAACAAAACAAACATGAAAACATATCAGACTAAAAGGCGAATAAATCAATCGCCTATATGTCTTAATCGATTTCATTATTTAATAATGCTGCTGCTTGATTAGCTACTTCTGATATAGTAGTCACAGAAGATGTTGATGCTTGTTGATCATCAATTGATTGTTTAGCAAATTCTTCACGAAGTAGATCAAGATCTTTTTCTCGTATTTGAATAAATAGAATACCATTAACAACATTAAGCATTTCTAAGACATTTTGAAAACTTGGCTGTTGAATCTAAATTTATTTTATTGTAAATTAAATCAAAGAAAATATATACAATAGTAGAACGAGTTTTCAACTAACATACATGTTCAACATCTGGTAAATTTGTATGCACAATACTCTGTTAAGAATGTAGATCAAAGATAAAGTTGGAGTTCAATTGCTTGCGTAACAAAGAGCAGAGAAGAATAGCTGTGCTTTGTAGCTGATTCACTCGCTATCTTTCACATAGTTCTTACTAGTTATAGCTCTGAGCAAAACATCAGTCTGATATAGAGTTCTTACGCTCAATTACTTCAGCTCTTCATAAATATTAATTAACCACAACAGCAGATGTATGTCACAGAGACGTTCATCTTTTTATGAATCATGTAGTGCGATGTTTCAACTATCTATGCTAAATAATTTCAATGACGTGCATCAATCCTTTCTGAAATAGTAATCATAAGAGTGTAATAAAGCCAAATTTTTAGAGAAACTTAACCAATAATTATTCAAGAATTTACAGACATTCAAAAGTCGCTATCTTCAAGCAAATAAACTCATCTTTTAGATAAATCATATATTTAATTGACAGCATTTCACACAGTAGAAATAAATACCATTAATCTTAACTCTTTTTGTACTGTGCAGTTTCATTAGTAATGTACATTCATTGACAGAGTATGTGTCTCGCACAAAAAAAAATTTGAATACTTACAGTTAAACTTGGTATGACAAGTAATTGACCTTTAACAACATCATTGATTCGTTTTTGTAAAACAACGGCTTGTTCAGTTAAATGTTTAAGTACTTGAGCACTTTCACGTGTTCTTTCATGTTCATCACCAAGCTAAGAGGAAAAAAAAAGATACAAATCAATTTCAATAGTTTATTTGTTTAATGTTTACTTGTAATTTATATATTTGATAAGCTTCACGTTCACTGTTCAATGCTGATCGAAAATCTCCACGACATGATTGAATACGTGCACAAAGATGATGAGATAAAGCTACTTTAAGACTCTTTGTTCCATAGAAACTAAAATACATATTGAAAATTATAACGACAAAGTTCGAAAAACAGATTAAATTTGTACTCGAAATTTAAGATTAGCTTTTACAAAAACTAGGAAAAATCGAAATGAGCTAATTTCTGTCATTTAAAGCTAATATTCTTGTTCAGAGAAATGAAATCAACAAGTCATGTTTGACATAGTATTTTTCATTAACAAAAGAGTTTTTGAACACAAGATTATTCATTAAATTCATAACCTAAATCAACAACAGAATTGCAACTACGTTTCGCATAGAGTTAACATTCGTTATATTCAACATATCTTTATTGAACCTAATCTGATCTATGAAACTATGCAAAAATCAATAACAATATGTCATCTTTAACCCTTCTGTTCGTTTACACAGTTTTTCAATAGGACTCTTCATACAAAAAAAAATGAATCAATTACTTACGTTTTATTTAATTCAAGTGATTTTTCCATAAATTTAAGTGCATTTTCATAATCACCATATGATTGTAAAATCAATCCAAGATTACTCTAATTAAAAATATTTAATAATATATTTTTAAAAAAATTCAAAAAAAAAATAACAACAACAAATATTTGTTTTTCTTACATCAATAAGACTAATTTGTGGATGATTTTCACCACAACATGTTAATATAATATATCGAGCACGACAAAGTAATTTTGATGCATTTATTGAAAGACCATTTGCAAATGAATATAAAGCCATATGAATCTAATTGAAAATTTTATATTCTAGTTTATTATAAAAAAGAAAAAGAAAAATCTTACATATTCTGTTGCTGTTTGTGGATGATCAATACCTAAAACTCGTTCAGACATCATAACAGCTTTATGTTGTGTCATAAGTGCTTCTTGATAATCTCCCATAATATAATTTAATCGTGCAAGTAATCTTAAACACATACTAATTTCAGGATGCATTGGTCCATAAACATTATTTAATAAATTATGTGCTTCAGATATTAATTCAAAACCTTCACGAAGTAAACCTTGTTGAATTTTTTGTTGTCCACTTGTAAAAAATTGATAAGCATCACTTGGCTAAAATAAATAATAATAAAACAAAAAAAAACAAAGAGATAAACTAAATGTTTTTTAATTTATCTAGACAATCAAAATTTTTACTTTTGGTGGAACATGTTTTATTATTGGAAATATATTAATAATATCATTTTCATTAAAACATTCATTATTTGAACGAATTGATTTATTTATTGTTTCAAATTGATATTCACGCATAGTTATTTGTAAACCAATTTTTCGACAAAATGAACGTAAAATACATGTACGACGAACAGCATAATTTTCAACAAATGATTCAATATCATCACTAAGATAAATAATAAAAATAATTATCATGAAAAAAGAAAAGAGTGTTCATATTTTTGTTATCAAATGATACTTGTAGACTGTTCATATGAGAGAGCGAGAAAATGTTTTTATTATACTTTCTATATTATTATCAAAGTTTTATTATGCATCAGTATGCTAGATGATTTCAAACATTCGAACATACGATTTTTATTGATTTGATCAACTCACACAAATGTGTCCCTCTCAACATAGTAAAACCCTAAAAAAAAAAGCTCTCTGTAGCAAAAAATCTCAGGTCGCAATACTACTATTCGATTTGTTGGTATTTACCGAAACAGGTTAAAATTCTAGTGTGCACTTAAAAAGAAAATGAGAATATCTTCAAAGGCGAAAAAAACTGCGAAATATTGCGACGTGAAACCAAGATTTTTGAATATCTCTTAGTAGGTGCACGATTTTACTATTGACTCTGTTGCATGAAGATATTTTGATAGTCAATCTAAATAAACTAACCATTCGACAAGTGCCTATAAACAGAATCAATGTTTTATCTAGGTTTCGTTTCCCGAGTGGACGAGTCAAAATTTCGGGTGGGCGGCGCCCACTCGGCCCACCCAGTAGACGAATGGCTGCTGTATATTTTCGGGTGGGCGAATCAAAATTTCGGGTGGACGGCGCCCACTCGGCCCACCCAGTAGACGAATAGCTGCTGTATATTTTCGGGTGGACGAGTCAAAATTTCGGGTGGGCGGCGCTCACGCAGCCCGCCTAGTAGATAAATCACTGAACAGAATATGTACTGAAATAGTCGAAACTAAACTTTCGAACTGAAGCAGTTTTATAGTTTCTCTATAAAATTTTCCTCAAAATACCAAAGCGGACCCAATCAAATGTTGTATGATCTTTATATATTAAAATAAATAATTGTAAAATTCATTACCAAGTTAAATCAAAACTATATCTTGATTTTGCTTCATTGATTATTTGTAACCAAAGTACTTTCGAAGTTATTGATGAAAATTCTAATGATTCTATAAAACAAGAAATTAATTTGTAATTATTTTCTAAAATTTTTTACCATTTCTCATCATAGGACTATGTTTACGTTGTTGTTGTTGTTGTTGTTTTTTATTTTTCTTTTTAGCATTAGATTTTTGAGATGAAATATTTGTTGAATTTGTTAATAATACATTTGATGTAGTATTTGTTGATTGAATAGTTGTTGCTGATGCTAATTCATCAAATGTATAATCTGTTGTTGGTAATGATATAATTGTTAGAAAACAATTAAGAAAATGACTTATTGAATATGATAAAAGATGAATTGGTACTGATTGTAAATATGTACGAAATACATGTTTTGTACTTCGACAAAGAATTTCAGTTACAACTATTTCCTAAATAAATTTTACAAAAACAAATTTAATACAATAAATATAAAAATCAAAAATTTAACTTACATATATATATGTAAGAGAAGATTGTTGAGTAAGAAGTTGAGCTATACGACCAAGATAACGAATATTAATACCCCTAAATAAAAAGAAATATTTCAATATTTCCATTAGTCTATTGACTGAATTTAAAAAGAAAATATTTAATCTTAGGAGAACTGTCGAATGAGATCAATCGCTTTTGATATAAGTCCTATTTCATGATGTTAGAGTCTGTTCAGTTCAAATTTTTTTACATCCAATTAATAGAAAACTTCATGTTTTGAAATTAGAGAATTCCTATCTATTGAATTATGACTCGTTTATTTTGAAAGTATTTAAGAATAAAAGATATTAGAATTTTCAAAATTCATTAATCTTCATTGAGAACTTTAGTTTTTGTCAAGTTTAAACTTGAAATTCAAATGTCGATTTTATACAGACTATAATATTTTGCTAGAAAAATTCATTCAATATAATAAAAGTGACTCATCCACACGAACATTTTTACAATTTCTCTAGTTTGAAACGGTCTATCGAATGATATAAAATTCATTTTAAAAATGATTGAACACTTTCTCGTTAGTTCATTTCACACAACAAAATATAACTGTTGAATTTAATATTTCTCTACCTTGAATGCATAGCTTCTGAAAGACTTTCACCATCGACAGGTACAGATGAATGATCTTGAAAATCTTGTATCATTAATGGAATTTGTTTTAATACTAAATATTCAGCTGCTTCTTTAAGTAATTTTATATCAGCTACTGTTTCATCGGACTAGAAAAATAAATAAATAAATAAATATTCTAATAAAAGAATTTTTCTATTTGTCTACCGTTTGATTAAGTGTTACATGTGGTTGAAATAAATCAGGATTAAAACGAACATCAAATTCATTATCTTTTACTGAACCAATCGAACGACATGCTGATTGAATTATTTCTCGACTATTATCTTCAACTATAAGATATAAAATTAATTAAATATGTTTATTTTACTGATTAATTTATTTTACCACTAATTTCATTAACAATACGTTTAGCTTCTTCGACATTTGTTCGTTCAGTAGTTTCGTTTGATATTGACTAAGATTATCAACAAAATAAAGTTTTTTTTTTATTATTAATATATATAAAAACATACTTCATTAGATCGTAATCTTGATAAATTAAGTGCAATTGAACGATAAAAATCGACATATTTTTGTCTAGATATGAAAGAAAATTAGAGTTTTTATAAAACGTTCAATCTTACTCAACAAAAGCATCTATTAATTCTTGTCTTAAACAACATAAACGATGTTTATATGTTTTTGGATAATCAAATTGTTTCATAGATGGTGATAAATGTTCAACATCAACTAAATATATAAACATAAATAAAGTAACGAAACTCCGACTGAGACCATATGCATCTCTAATAAATTCGTTCTCTTTAACTATTCATTGTTCTATCGGTAACTAGAGTACACTGGATCAAAAAATTTTCGAATTCAAATCAGATCAAATCGTATTAGGATACTTTCAATGAAATTATATAACCGGCACTGAACAACCGCTCTGAAAATACGAAATATTTTTTTTTCAATCAAATGAATATTAAATGATCATTCAATTAATAAAATATCTTATTAATATCTCTTCAGAAATTAGTTAGAGATAAAAGTAAGACGACAAATTTGTAATGATCTCAGCCGGAGCTAATCGGTTACATCTATGTCTTCAGTAACCTTTCAATTAATGTCCATTTCAAAGTTATAAATGGCCGTGGGTATTTTTTGAATAGCTTTTGATAGAGATCTGCGGTTTTCACCGTTGGAAAGAGCAGTTGAAGATGCATCGAATTCTGTATAGAAAGATTTTTCTAACTACTTTTCTAAAGGTTTAGTCAAACGTTTTCAAAGAATTAATTTTTTCTCCTACGTTAAACAAGTGGGTTTTCTATCAAAATACTGGAAAAAAATTTACATTTTTCGATTATTTTATTGAAAAAAATTAGAGGGTAAATTGTATTCCTATAGTGGTAGTAGTTAGGAACAGCGTCTTGATACACTTTTTGGTAGCCCTTTCTTTGGTGATTCTAACGCACTCCTGAAAATCAATAAATTAATATCATGATCATGAGAAGCATACTGTTTTTTCTTGAAGTTTTATATAAAACCTATAGGAAAGTAGCTAGAAAAATCTTTCTATACATAATTCGATGCATCTTCATCTACTCTTTCCAATGGTGAAAGCCGCAGATCTCTATCTTGTTCCTATCAAAATTTATTCAAAAAATTCTCACAACCATTTAACTCTAAAATGAATATTAGTTATTTTCTTTGTATTTCACTATTTTTTTTTTAAATAGAAAAATTTCAATAAATATTAACTTACCTGGTAAATAATTAAGATCAGGTGGTGTCATACGTAATAAATCTAATAAATAATGTCTTCCATCATTACCAATAATACCTTTACATTCGACAGCTGTTAATAATTCTATAGAATCTCCTTTTTCTGTTTTAATTGTATGTGGTTTAATTTTAAGCATAGTTGAAACTTTTTCCAATAATTCTTTATATTTTTCATTTGTTGTACAAGTTTTACCAAAATCTGTTGATCCATAAACAACACTTTGTTCTTGTTCTTTTTCAAGAATACCTAAAAAACAAAAAAAAAACATAAATCAATAATCATAATAATAATAATAATAATAATAAATAGAATTTTTATTTTGTTTATTTATATATTTCTATTAAAGACAAGATCTTATATTTAATAAAGAATCAATATGATGAATTGAATAATGTAATGGTATTAAACGATATATATTAGAAAAATATTTTATACATTCAGTTCGTTGTTGATAATGATTAATTTTACTTGATAAACTATCTTGACATTTATAACAATAAAATGTTTCACGATGTCCAATTTTAATAGGTGTTTGTTTTGTTAAATAACTTATTAAAAAATTCATAGCTATATCTTCACAATTCATATGTAATTTAATATATTGTCGTATTTGTTCAGACATAATATTTGTATAAAAATCTAAATACCAACGATGTAAAAAAGCTGCACCAGTTAATATCATTGAATATGAACATAATAATGATGATGCATCATATTCTAATGTATTAGATTTATGTGAACGTGAAATAAAACCAATAAGACGTGAAGGATATTCTTTCCATATATGAAATGCATATTCAATTTCATCATGTCGTAAAAAACTATCATCATCTAATGATAATATACAATCAGTATGAATAAATTCATTCCATGGTAAAAAACGATTATTTAAATTATTTGTTAAATTAAATATATAAATAATATCAACATGTATTGATGGTAAATATATAGAATAATTATCAAGAAAATTATTTAATGAAAAATTTTTATTATGAAAATTTTCTATCGAATCAACTTGATTAAATAAAACAAGTATACGATCAAGATTAATTAAACCATTTAAATGTAATAATAAACGATTTAATTGATAAAAACGTTTTTTATGTGTTAAAATAATAATTGTATATTTATTATGTGAAAATGATATTTCGAATGGATTTGTTTGTGTTTTTGAACGATAAAATGGTTGATATAAACGATTCCATTGATCATAAAATGTTGGTTCTATATGTATTGAATATTTTTTATTTGTTTGAAAATTAATTTTATCCATTAAACCAATTGACATTCGAGTAAAATTAATATTTCGTGAATGAATTAAATAATAAAAATTTTTTTCTTTTATTAATTGATTTTTTATTTCATTAAATTTTAATTCATTTGATAATGTTGGTAAACGATAATATGTACGTAAATAAGCAATTAATGTATGAAAACGATGTTGAAATGTTTGAAAATAAATTGTATATAACCATGATAGAGATACTGATGGATGTAACCAATCAATTATATTTGAATATGGAAGATAATTTTCACAATTGAAAAGATTTATATGAATTTGTTGTGAAAGAAAATAGAAAAACGCATCATAGAATTCATATTGAATTGAAATAGAATATATAGAAGAACAAATAAGAGATATAATAGATATATTTTTATTCAAAATTGTTTGATAACAAGATCGATGAAAACATTCAATTGTTATTTCATAAGCATTTTTTAATCGATCATATTCATGTGCAGCAATAATAGCTAAAATAAAAATAAAATATTTTAAAATCTTTAATTTCAATTAATAGAAAATTTTTAAAGTTATGAAATTTAATAGTCACTTTCATCAGAATAGACAAATTTGTTTTATTTTGATCTACACAAAGTTGACTTATTTAAATTATTCTATTCAAGAGTTACATGAGTTTTTCAGAAACTCTAATTCCAGTTCAATGATCTTAGAAATACTCGAAAAGAGGTCAAGACAAGGAATGCGACCATGTCTAAATAGCTACGTTGTTCTGCATGTATCCACAAGGTACTGTATGTAAAGCTCAAGATCAAGAGCCATGAAACGTCCAATAGCTGGGTGACTACATGTTGGCATACACTTGCTGCTGCGACTAGTATATAGTTGATTAGAATGTATAGGAAATTCGATTAATTGAGCGCAAGAATTTAGGTCTTCTGTTCAAAATTACAACTGGTATTAGTTGTAGGGACGATATCTACTACTAGCGAGCATCTTAGGGGAATGGCAAAAGTTTTAGTAGATTACTACACTCATCGAATTTGAGCTGAATTCTATGGTGTTGGATGATCTCTTCTAAACAGTGAACTAAATATTCATCAGTGAGACATGAAACAAGGCTTCAGTTTAAGCCTTAGTCTGTTGTCTATAGATTGATATTTTGTCTGTAGGTCGATTTTTCTTTTATAAAGTGACGTATCATCAGCATCCTGTTTAGTACCTGTAGACCTGTCAGATCAACTTTTTTTGGTAAATCGGTTTCGGTCGACGAACCGGTCTAAAAAACTAGACCGGTTCCATCTCCGGGTGAAATCTTCTTATTGTCTTTTGACGTTGATAAAATAGTCTTTTTTTTTTTAAACTTACCAGTTGTATTTAAATAAATAATACCAATAGGTGATTTTTCTTCATCATTCAAACGCCAACGATCATTATTAACATATGTTTGATTTGTATTAAATTGAGTAAAAAATTTTACATGAAGAAAATTTCCATGAAAACATTTTTCATCAATATCTTCATTAATAGGATTTAAAAATTCATATAAAACAAAATAATTTTCATTAATTAAATCTTTATAACAAATATTTCGTTGATATGATTGTATTGGTAAATAAATAATATTTAAATAAGCTTCACTTTTATTTAATGTTATATAAGGACTATTAATTTTAGAAATTTTTAAATGAAATTCATTTAATATTTGATAATCAATATCATCATTTGAACTTTTAATTAAATGAAAACAAACAAGAAATTTTGTATAATTTTTATGAATATTTTTTTCTAAATCAAAATCAAATGAATTAAAATGAAATATTTTTTTTTCTTCTTGTTTATTATAATCAATTGTTTTAATTAAACGATTTAAATGCCATGTATATTTAGTTAAATATTTTTCAATTTTTTTTAAACGATTTTGTATTATTGTTAAATTTGCTTGTTTTAAACGTATTAAACGTTCAATATTTGGTAATTCAATAAGTAATGAAGTATATATACGATGTTCATCAGTAAAATAATATTTTCTTATCTGATTATATTTATATATTAATAAAAAAAATCCAAATATCAAAATAATAAATAACCATCGTTGTCGATGATGATGTATTAACATAATTTTATACGTTTCTTATAGTCGTGTGATAATTCTTTCTCTGTTATTTCTCGCTTATATTGCCGATTATAAGAGAGAAAGAAAAAAAAAAAGAAAAAGAAAAATGTTTGCTTACCGGGGACAATCGATTGGGCAGTAACACGCATGCCACGATAATCAACAACAACAGTACCTAATGTATGTAAACCATCTAAATCGAGTGTATTTATAGCACGAACACCTTGTAAATCATTTGTTGGTGCTGAATGAGCAGCAGCATCACCACCAAAATCTTTATAATGATCTTTTACATCAAAACCAAGACTGAAGAACATATTATTCCATATATACATATGAACTCTAGAAAAATTATTAAGAATCGATTATGAAAGGAAAATATTGCAACTGAAAGATCGTTATTTTTTTTTCTCTTATGGAATCAAAATATGAAATACGATGATCTGTACATATTGAAAAATCAAGAGATTATACGACAGATGCCTCAATGATCATAAACATACATCTTAAATTTAATCTTCTTTTATAACCATCCAATAGAAGGCCTTAGTTATGTAGCTAAAGAGCGAATTATTCGAATTTTGATACTCCCGATTTGAATTTACAGGAACGCTTTGGTAAGACTAGTAAAATTCTAAAAGTTTGTGCCTATTGAACTTTGAAATTGAGTTATGATCATTATTACTAAAACATCAAATAATGAAGTTTCGCTCATAGATAGGCCAAATGCCTAGTAGAATATCCTGAACATTCGTTCGTCACGAAACTGAATTTTTAAAAATAAAGAATCATCTCTTGCCATAAGTGTACGGTTCTTAAATCGAGTTTACTTAGAAATATAACGCACTCTTAAAGCCTAATGGCAACTACATTTAAAACAAGTTGACTTACTTTGATTCTTCACCAGGATTAATAGCCATTATATTACCATCAACAACAGCTTGACAACCACGAATAGCAGCTGAAACAAAATCAGTATGAACCTAAAAATAACGAAATTTAAAAAAAAAAAAGAAATTTTCTAGTTCTTTATACTTTGAACATTGCACGTTCACGTATAAGTCTTTCAGGTAAATTTTTCTTTGGTAATTCTTTTGTTATTTGTAATTCTTCATTCCAATCACGTACTTGACCAGGTATATGATCTTCATGACCAAGTTTATTTATATTTGCTAAAATAAAAAAAAAAATAATATTCATGATTATATATAAATTTTATATAATACCATCTTCAGCTCGAAAATGATCTATTGTATGTTCAAAACGTGGTGATAACCATGGATGTATTTGAAATGGAATTTGTATACGTTCAAATGGATGTTTTGTACAACGTTTACGTTGTATAGCACGAAATTTCTTTTTAAAAATTGGACTAATCTATATTTTCCCAAAAAAAAACAAAAAAAAAGATAATTTTTATTATTGAAATCTTAATATCTTACATTATTTAATAGATCAACAAGTGAATGAAATATAGCTTTAGGTTGCACCGGTTTTGGAAGAAATTTTTCATCTGTTGTTCTTTAATATAATTGTAAATAAATTCATTATAATAAGATTTAATATTAAAAATTAACTTACTGACTAACATAAAAACCTTTTGTACATGCTGTTATATGAAATGATTTTTCTTCACATGTTGTTACTTTTAAATACATAAGATCACCTATTTAAGAAAAAATAATCGAGTTAAAAAGTTAAGTTTCTTTTATTTAATTCACCATGTAATTTTCTTGAACCATTTGGTGGATTCCAACCACTATAGGACAATATTTTTAAACAATGTAATCGCTAGAAAAAAAATAAAATCTTCAATTATAGATTCACAATTTTGTATTGTTTAAATGTCACATATAGAAAATGATAACAGATATACCATTTATTCAGACTGCATAGAATTTGTTTATTAAATCTTTAGTTATATATTAAAAAGACATATTTTGTATAACTAACCAAAAATTCTTTATGTAACAATGGAAGAGTGCCTCGAGATCTCCATGATTGGAAAGCAATTGCTTTAAGGTTAAGAAGTTCGATCTCTCTCGAGACATTTCTGCACTATGGGATATGTTCAAACGTTTGATCACAGATTTGATTTTTATTTTAAGACTTTATTTGATGAAAATTACAAATGATTTGAATTAGAAATGTATAATTAACTTGAATAGTCTTTAATTAAAAGATTAATTGTTGAAAAACAATTTCCTTAACATATATCCGATTCCGTATTACACGAATGAATGAATGAAGAAAATGCAATCGATTGCAATGAGGAAATATATAACAGACATGCGACAACTCCTGAAACATTATGTCGAAGATGACCTTTTTGTTTTTTATATAGACAACATAAGTCTTTGTCGATTATGTGTATCATTTTTACTCCTAAGCTGCAATTACAATACATGAAATATAAATTTTTAGAGTTAATTTCAATTACTTAGGGGACTCTTGTTTTGTATTCGAAACTGATCATAATTTCAATAGTTCTCAATGCTCGAAATAGACTAATATTTGACTTGAAAATCCAGGCATTATTGCATCTATATTAAATATTGAAAACTATCAAACTTCTAAAAAGTCGGTCAATCTGGAAAACTGTTATTTTGTACTCTATGAATTCAGACCAACAGCTTTGAAGTAAAACTAATATAGATTAACAAGAAAAACTTATATTATCTATACAGAAAAGGTTATCTTTGATATGATGCATGTCTAAAATATAGTCTTAACTATTTCTAATAAATACATAAAGTAAATATATATTTATTATCTTCATTATGACATATCTAATCATAGTCTAACCTATAACTAAGTTAGAACAAATAAATATTTACATTAATTTTATTATTTGTTGTAAAAAGTGGTGTAAGTAGAATATCTTTTTGATTAGGTAAAAGATATTCTGGTACAATAGAATCACTTCCACTAGTTTCAGCACTTTTTCTTCGATCTAGAAAAAAAGAAATTTATAAAACAAATATCGAAAATAATAAAATCTTTTTGTTTTTACCAGTATTCGATGATGATGATGATGAAGATGTTTCACTATTATTAATATCATTCACAAGACATAATGAATAATTATTTGTACCATTATATAAATCATTTAAATCACATGCATGTATTAAATCATTTATATGTCGTATATGAATACGTACTTCACGTACAGTATATTGTTCTAAATAATAATTAAAAAAAAAAGTTTTTTCAAAAACAAAAGAAAAAAAAGTTTTTTTTCTTCTTCTAACCTTCAACAACTTTTATTAGACTTCCTTCTTTTAAACCATCAATATTTTTTAATTCAGAAAAATTATCTAAAATAATTCCATCAAGTTGTAATGAAAAACAAGTACGATGACATGTTTCTTCTTTATCCATTAAAACTTGATGAATTTCTTGTACAAGTTCACTTGATGTTACCTAGAAAAAAAAAATATTTGTTATTATTTCTTATTTCTTGAATTTTTCTTACTGATAAATCAAATATATCTAAACCAGGTGATTGTATTCGTATATTAAATGAAACTTCAGGTAAAAGAACAAGTTCATTTGAATTATTTGGATTTGTTGTTGTTATTCCACTTGCATTTAAATTTGATGATGATGATGATGATACATTAGGACAATTATTAAATGAAACATCATTAATTGATGATGTTGAACTTGTATTTGTTGCTGCATCATCATTATCAGAATCTTGACGAGTTTTTATTAATTCATCTTGATGACCATTACATGTCATAAAATCAGAATTTGTTGTTGAAATATTTTCCTCTGGTTGTTTCATCATTTATTTTAATTTGTTAAATTGATGAATACACACAAATGAAGTAGACGAGAAAAAGAAAACAAATAAGAAAAATACTAGAACAAAAACAAAAAGAGAGAAAGATAAATTTGCATAAAATCATATTTTTTCTATAATAATTGTTTATGTATGTGTAGGCACATGTTGACTTGATGAAGATAGATTTATATTGGAAAGAATAGTTAGTAATAGCTATATTCTTCGTAGAATATTATATAATATTTAGGAAAAATTAATATTTTTCGAGAAATTACATAATAAAGAACGAAAAAGAGGAGTGTCTAAAGAGTACAAATAGTTTTTATTCATATCACGAAAAGATACAACGGAGTTCAAATAGAAAAGGCAAAACGACCTATGGAAATATGATAAGTAGACGAAAGAAGAAAAAAGTATAGTACTGTTGATGTTATGTCGTACAGTACAGAGTCTACTGTACAGCATGAATAAGAACCCAAATCTGCAAGGAAGATTATGTATAACTATCTAGAAAAGCATATGCAATGGTTTCGTTATAGAAAAGAAAAAAAAAAGACGAGGGACGAAAGTTCATGGACTCTCTTTTTTCCCCTCAATTTATGATTTGTTCTTTACTATTCCATATCAATCATCAAAGGAAAAAAATCTATCATGAATAACGAAGAGTCAGAATGACCTTTTGTTTAAGATATATATATTAAAGTATAGTTTTGAATGAGCTTGTTGATAGAAACTAGAACATAATAATCAGCTATACTGTTCTAGCCGATTTGTCTATTTGTTTGATTCAGTTACCAGAAGAATTTTGATGGACAGCATAAGACGAATGCGAACGATGCGTGCACGGTATATAGCGAAAATATAAGTGAGAAAAAGAAAAAAAAAAAGAAGATAGATAACAGTGAGAACGAGTTAATCGATCAGCGTTCTTCTATAATGATATATAAAAAAAAAATAACCCAACAGAAAGAAAAGACAAAAGAAAGAAAAAGAAAAGACAACATTATATGTCCTCCCTTTCGAATTACCATATGCATATTGTTGATATAAAATATCTCACTATCCAATTGGCTAACAAACACACATGGAGTCCAATAGTTCAAACCTGTGTCCAAATAATACCTAACTAACGTAGATATTTTTATTTGCTATTATATTGATGTCTTGTCTTATCTTTATAACTTTATCATTGAATGATGATGCATTTCTTTAGAGTAGTCGACTTGTGTTTCTCTTTCAATCAGGTTTTCATTTGAAACTCATGAAGTATGTGATAATTTTATTTCGAAAAACAAATAAAATCTCTATTCCGATAAGTATTTTTTTTTTCTGTGTCATAATCGAAAATTTTTTCATAGAAATTATATCAAATAAAGAAATGAAAAGATAATCTAAAATTCAATATCGTCAATTATTTCATGTTCGTTTTTTGAAATGTACATAAAAAATAGAAATCAAAAGTATATTTTGAGAACTTTGTATGAAGTAGATTATTTAATGTTTGATGAGAGGTATCCCTCGATCTTCAGAAATCTTCGTTTTCTTCATCGGTTCCCAAACAAGTACTCAAATTCTTTCACTTAGTTCTGCCAGTCTCAGGACACGTCTTTGTGCAATTTGTTGCATATTTGAAACATAGCTTTGTTTAAAGAGGTGTGAGAGTTACTGAGGAAGTAATTACAAAATTTTCATTCGATTGAAAGCACCTGCACAAAAACTATATCGATTAAATAGTGTAATAAGCAAATTCTTTATTTTTTTCTTTTGTTTTATTAATAGTCAATATCTCGAAGAGCTAAAATTCTGAAGATTTGATTAGTCTGTTCTCAATCATATCTCATAGTTAGAATTTTTTTTTTTATTAATCGAGATGTTACGAAGATGACAATTATCAAAATTATAGACAGAATTATGCTGCGTTCAATATAGTTGAGAAATTAACGATAATTATAGAAACTCAAATATATGAATAAATTTCTTTTGTTTAACTCAACTAAAAACTGCTGAAAAAATTGATTTTACTATATGTGGAGTATAATGATAATAACAATAACATTCAATAAGATAGAATCTATGTCTCCTTATTTATTCACGTATTAAAAAAATGAATTGATAATTACCTGAATATTAGGTCGTAGTTGGTAATAATGTTGATTCAAAAGGTGACAAGCAAATAGTTTTGTGTTTTTTTTTTATTTTCAAGGATAGTTTTGATCGAATGGCGAATGATTTTTTTCCTTCTTCTTCTTCTTTTCATTACAAATTCACTCAAGATACTTAAGAAAAGCACATGTACACTATTGATTTCATATACCTATACAATTGGAGTATTCTTTTTTTGCTCTTTTCTTTCTGTTTATTTAAATTGAACATTCTATATATGAATGTATCAAATCAGTGAGAACTCGTGAAATGGGTGATTTTGCCTAAGGATAAAGAAAGTGACAAATCATCAGAGAAACAATCGATTCTTAAATTATTATATAGAAGAGCATAGGAATAATACATATAGATCAAATACATACGATCTAACTATCACTATTCTTTGCACTGTATATTGACTTACTCTATTTCGATGTACGTGACAGTAAGAAATGCATATTATACTCTTAGTGTATTCTTTTTCATTCGTTTCTATTTTCATTTTTTTTCGTATTTCTGTGTTTTTTTTCTCTTTCGGTTTCTTTTCATTTCAATGATAAACGCAAAAAAAAAACACACACAAACATACTATACGTTCGTTTTCTTTTCTTTGACAATAATAACAATGATACCGATCTGTGTTCATGATTTTTTTTTTTCTTATAGAATCTGAGTACAATGAAATTCTCGATTAGAACTCTTACAAATAAAACCCAAGAAAAAAATAGATAAATTTTATTTCATTCTTAGTTTATCAAAAATGAAACCTTTCTTTTTTTTACAGTTAAAACAGCGCATTGATTTATTTTGCATCTTTTTATTTGAATTTTGTTTTAAATTATGCCATTGTATAATTAACTTATGTTCGATTGACACTTAAACACATATTAATTGAATATACTATACCTGATAAATTAGTAGTATTGTTTGTTTTTGTTCAACGTTACTGAAAATTTCTAACATTCAGTGATTTTCACATTGAAATATTAGTGTTGTTTTATAATATTTCATAAGTGTTGTTTGAATAATTTATGTATTAATATCATGAATACATTCGAGTACTGTCGAAAAAATGAATAAAAATAAATGTTTGTATTGCTTTAATACGATATTGTTAAGTTTTTGTCTGCTGCGATATTTAAAAAATTATTATTTTAAGACAATATGTCTCTATTTTATCTATTGGACATTGAATTTTATGAACCAAAAACAACATTCCAATAAGAAGAACCAATTAATATACATGAGTCACATCTATGAATGAAATCAGATTACGACGAAGATATACCATCTTGCAAAATAAAATCAATAAGAATTAATTTATCGTCGACATGATTAGATAAATATCTGAAACACAAAACCAAAAATTTATTTTCACCCACCTATAGAATATAAAATAATAAGAGATTGCAAGAAAATAGTTTCAAAGTTGACGTTGATATCCTAAACCTTCACATTCAATAATAGTTGTAGAATTTGATATATTCAATGAAGATGTTGATGCTTGTAGTGTTGTTAAATGTGATTTATCGTCTGTTTTTGATGATGGAATTTCAATAATTTTGAATTTAACCTATAGTAACAAACAACAAAAAAAAAATATTAGATAAACATTTTTTGAAATAAAACAAACGTTAGTTAAATGTTCAACAACATAAATTGCTGTCTTAGTACGATCAGATAATGGTCCACATCGAATTTTTGAATGACCTTTAGCAAGAGCCATTAAAAGAATTAACTATTAATATAAGAAAACTAATTTAAATATCTCTATTTAAAAGAACTAAATCACTAACTTGATCTTCTAAATATCGATCAACACATGCTTCATGAGATAAATCTTTGAGTAATTCTTCTGTTGCTTGTATTCCAACATCCGATGGTGATATCTCTCGTTTACCTAATGCATTTGCTGCAAGTAAACAACCTGTCGTTGTTTCTGCACCAATCCTATGAAAATGATTTTAGTTCGTCTGATACCAAAGATTAATTCGAGGGATCGAACAAGCATTCTACATTAATTTTATTTTTGATATACAGTTGCAATACAATATCGTAGAGAACTCATTCTCTTTTAGTTAGAAATATTGAAATTTCTAGTGCAAATTTGTACAAACGAATTTGATCGAATATGATTTTCAAGCATCAGAAAAATCATAGAACAAAATTTGTCAGGCAAAGATGGAATGTTTACCGGTTATCCGCCGATCTGATCTATTCAGACTGGTTTCATATTTGGTTTCAAAAAAAAATTTTCCGTAACTTTCGTCACAATTTTTGTTTTAAAATTTATTTTGTTTAACTTTTTTTTATTATTGATTTTTTGTGTAGAATTAAAATAACTGATCTATCGTACAAGAGAATAAACAACAGATAATTTGATTCAAAATTCAATTAGAGATTTATAATGCGAAAACAAAGTGTTACTTGAATATCTCATAGACAAGTTGTATCGTCTGTCAGATAATAATATTTAATAGCATACTCGATAAGCTTCTCTTCAGCATGTTGCACACACTAAAGCCTATCGAGTTGATGCCGAATCTGGGCCTGATGAGCTTTCGTCGTTTGAACAATGTGTAGGGTGCGCTAGTCACTTTCGATTAGAATATTATAATAAGACGACAGAACTAAGTGGATTAAAAAAAACAAGACATCAATCGACGTGGTTTGCTCTGTAAGCTAGACCGAAAAAAAAGTAGCCTGTTGACAGCTCTAGTTCATATCGGTGGATGTAAAACATATAAAATATTTATTTTTTCATCGTGTAGGAATAACCACCTATTGTTACGTTATAAAACTTGGATAAAAGGATTAAAAAGCGTTTCTTATAAATTGATGCCTTCACTAAATTGAAACGA